TTTATTCAATTTGTTCTTTCTGTGTCTCAAGGATTGCCAGGCATTGTTTATGCCATCATCTGTTCATGGAGAGAATCTTTTTTTTAAAACCAGAATTGCATGGAACTAGCATTAATTAGTGCTAGTAAGCATTAGGCCTAATTGTGCATGCATAAATGCACCTTTAAATATACTGCAAGTTTTTCTTAAAAAAAAAGAATATCAACAAAGAACCTCAGATTTGCACATAAGTATTGTTGCTTTTTTTTAAGTATGTTTGTTTATTCAACGTAAGTATTGTTGAATACAAAAAGAACACATAACCCCCACAGGCAGTTATATATGCCAATGTATCATAGCCCCCCACCTGGTTTTCAAAGCTAACAAGGAGGAAGCATTGAACAATGAGCCAATTAACATGTCTTGGTCAGCCACACTTGAGAAAATGCATGGTGGATTGGTTGCTTGATCCCAAACCTACATTTCTCTCAACAGCTGGCCAGGACCTATGCAGCTTGCCCTGGTTTGTTCTCCTTGACCACCCCCACATCCCCTGTAGGTATCCCAGGGGCCTTTGCAGGACAGAGCATATCCTCCTTGCTATAGCATTACTGTTCCTGGTTTGCCCTGTTTACTGTTTTTCCCTGGTTTCCACCCTGACTACCCCACCTCCCCATACACTTTGTCAGATGGCTACCTAGAAAGAATTTTCTGAACATCAGATGTTAATGTTCTGTTGCTTTAAAAAATTCAGTATTCTTTTTTTGTCCTTCTAAAGTGCAGAATTATGCAGATACGTCTGTTTGCTATTGGCCTTTTTTAGTAGAAGACTTTCCCAGGATGGCAATATCCCCTCTTGTCAATATCTGTAAATTCCTAAATAGCAAACTCCTTTTTGTTTCCAGTACAACAAACCCCTTTGCATCCAATCGCCTCCCTGACTGATTACCTGCTTCCTATGTAACAAAAGGGCTCTCTATTGTTGGCACTGATGTGATTAGCAATTGGCTTTGGGCATCGCTTATTGCCTGCTGGCATCTCTTTTGCACATGTTCGTTTGTTTTCCTTGTATCAGCAAGACTTCCCTTTCCTTTTTTCTGACTATAGACCTGGGCACGACTGACAGATTGGCGGTTTCTTGGATTAATGGTTTTTGTTGATTGTGGTTTTGAGCAAGCATTTGGAAGGGAATTCTCTTCTTGACCTTCCCTTGCAACTTCCTTTCTACCAGTTCCTTTATTTTAGAGAGTTCCTTCTTTTTAAGCCAGATGTGCCTGCAGCGGACTTCTTGGAAATTTTCTACTGAAACTTCTATTAAAGTTGCTATTTGTGTGCTGGCTGTTTCCAAATGGTTCAACAGCTCATACTAGACACAGGATGACACCACAGAGGATTAAATCCAGGGCTACCTCTCCTCTGGTCAGTCCATGGCCAATGGTTCAAGGATACAGTCAAGACCACCAAGAAACTTAACCTCTTGAAAAGCATGCATTTCTCCAGTCAATATGGAGACAATTATATTATTATAACACTTCCTTGTGTGGATGCCTCCCTGACTTCATGTTCCATTTGAAGATCACTCTAAAAGTTCTTGTCTGGGTGAAGATGGCACTTTCCTAGAAATAATTTCATTTTGGAGTCTCGTACTGTCCTCCATAGTGCTTCTACAGATGGGAGATAGTCTAGTCTTCTTGAGACTATGCCTGTTTCACCTATTGCAAAGTAAACCTACCTTCTTTAACAGGAAGGAAGAAAAGAAAAGGCCAAAATAAGAAGAGTCTAGTCAAGGTTAGCTCAGTACATTTTACCCAGGTTTATTTTCTGCTTTACACTTTTACTCAGCAACAGGCAAACACATGTTTCACAGCCGACAACAAAAAACATTAGCAACAAATATTCATATGTGTGGATGCACTATACCAAACAAGGAAATCACTTGTATGAGAATATGAAAAAGAAATATTAGCCATTCCATTCTGCATTTGTTAACTTAGAAGCAAGCCTCTCTGTGTTGACTGGGGCTTATCCAGAAGGAAATATGTATGGGTGCAACCTAAGCATTTAAAATATTTTGCAGGTTTTTTAAAAAAATTACTTTCCAATAAAGGAGGATGTAGGGGGGGTCTTCAAATTAAGGGTTATTATAGTTTTAATGAGGATGAACTCTGAATAGGCAAGTAATAATAATAGTGACAATAATAATCCATTTCAATTATATACAATCACTTTCTCATTAAGAGTGCTTTTTCAGAATTCAGAAATACTAAATTTCTAGATTCAGTAATGTATGAGCCAAAGACTTCCATACTTCTTCCCAGAGTATTTCTACAAGGTCACATTTGTAACTTTTAATGTTTTTAACTGAATGATATTAGAAGCGGGCTAGACCTGTGTTTACAATCATGCTACAAGTTTGCCCATGATAAACTTTGCAGGAGTGACTTCCATGAAGTAAGACTTATCACATTAGGTCCATGATCCATTGGCGAATAGTGCACACTAGCGGTGAAAATATATTTTTACAAACTCCAGCTTGATTTGACAATATTAAAAACAGGTGTTCAAGCATTACTGAAGATCATATGTTGCTTAAAAACGTGTGTTTCATGGATCAATCCATGGGTTGCCTGTCAAATGAAAGAGAAGCATGGAAGAAAGAATGTTTGTGTATTCTTGGAACTATCTTTTATGTGACAGATGTATTATATTCCACTGGATCCATACAAAAGTTGTCAGAGAAGACTATTTTGAGAAGGTTCCAATGTCTCCATGTGACAAGCGTAGTTTCTAGAGTAACCTGAAAAGTGCAGATTCTCCTCTTACTGAGGAGCAATCACTACTATTTTGACTTTTCACGGTGTCTTTGTTTCAAGAAAACCTGGGAGAATGAGCATCAAAATAGCAAATGCGGCTCAGTACAAGCAAGCATGAAGCAATGCATGTTGAAGAAAAAATACCAGCATCAAATTTAAGCTGATGGAATCGGAGCTAGTGATGACAGACCAAGGAAAAGATCTAGGGGTTGTGGTGGACAGCTCAGTGAAAATGTGGATCCAATGCATGGCTGCTTTGAAAAAAGTAAACTCTATGTTAGGCATATTTAGTAAAGGGATTGAAAATACAACTACTAAAGAACAAATACAAATGTATGGTCTGACTGCACTTAACATGTTGCATACAGTTCTGAATATTGCACATAAAAAGGATATTATAGAGTCAGAAAAAGTGCAGAAAAGGGAAATTAGAATGATCAAGGGGCTGGAACATCACTCCTGTGAAGAAAGGTTACAATAGCTGTGATTGTTTCACTTAGGAAACAATATAAGTAAAGAGAGATATGGTGTGGCATACAAAATTATGCATTGTGCAGAGAAGGTGGAGGAGGAATCATTTTTCTTCCTGTCCCATAATACTAGGAACTGAGATCATCCTAGGAAGCAAACTGGTGAGTGATTCTGGGCAGATAAAAGCAAGTACTTTTCACGCATCATATATCAGGACAGCTTTAAAAGGGGATTAGATAAATTCATGGGGTGATTGGAAGAATTAACAGGGGCTAACAGTGGTTATTGCTCTTGCTGACTAAGAACTGACTCAGGGATCTGAGACAGCATGCCTTCATGCTCCAGTTGCCAAGACCTTGGGCAGGAGAGTGCTGTGGTACCCGGATCCTGCTTGAGGGAACCTGGGAGCAGCCAGATCGCCGCAGTGAGACCAGAATGTTGCACTGGGTGGATCATTGGTCAGAGCTAGCATGACTTTGCTTATTTTCTTATGTCCTTAGTTAAAAAAGGATGGAGGAAGAGGAAAGCAGAGAGTGCAGGAAGGGGATATGAAGAAAATTGAATGTACATGGAATAAATTTGTCCAGGAGTGCCTTCCTTCAGCTAAGGCAGATTTACCAGCTTTGCCCCTACCTAGACAGAGGGAGGCTGAAAATAGTTACCCAAGCACTGGTAACTTCCAAAATAGATATTGTAATGTGCTCTATGTGGAGCTGCCCTTGAAGACTGTACAGAAATTGCAGCTGGCACAAAATTGGAATGCTCGGTTGGTGACTGGCACTGCTAGAGTGATTCACATAACACCGGTTTTGAAAGAATTGCATTGGTTGGTTGAATTGTGGCCTGGGCCCAATTCAAGGTGTTTGTTTTAACATATAAAGTCCTAAATGGCTTGGGGCCTGGTTATCTGAAGGACCATCTACACCCATATATACCTACCCACCCCTTAAGGTTGGCCCAGGAGTCCCTTCTATAAAAGCCATTCCTCAGAGAAAGAAAGGAGTGGCACATAGGCAAAGGGCCTTTTCTAATGCTGCTCCCCATCTTTGGAACTACCTCCCTAAGGAAATTCGTCTGGTACAAGACCTTGTCATCCTGGTCTTGGCACCAGGTGAAGATGTACCTTTAAAATAACAACAACAACAACTACTACTACTACTACTAATCTGTCTGCACTGGTAAACCTTTTTATATTGATTTGTGTATTGCTTTCTATGCTATTCTTTTAATTGTTTTAATATTTTTAAGATGTGAGCCACCTAGGGAGGCCTTTTTGCCCATTTATTTTGAATACATATGTAAATATATAAATAAATTTGGAAATGGGTCTGAAATAGCAGACTTAGGCTTAAGGGAGATGCCAGGCTGAGAATACTGATGACTGAAACCTATAGCATCACAAAGAGAAACATACCCGTTTTGTGCTCATAAGCTTCTGAAAGTTAATAGAAAAAATCTGCATATTCTTTTCAGGATATGTTTGGCAGCTTGGTGGGGATGCCAGAAAAGGGTTGGGGAGGCAAGCAGGAATCCCAGCACAGATTAAGGGCCCTTTTGATGATGGGGACTTACCGTTTTGGCAGTTCAGTTCATTGGCTGGGGCTTCGATTTGTTTTTAACATTGTTCCCCTGTCTGAATGGTTTTTACAGCTGTGCAAAGGCAACCTCATCTAAGAAAGGGAGCTACATCACAGCATAACCTCCTTTAAGATATTTAAAACTGTGAATGCCAAATACCTCTGCAAATTGGTGCTTCTGTCCATTGCTTGTCCAAACATCTTACTGTAGGATTTCCAGTGAGAAGGTATCCTGGAAAACAAAGATAGTGTACCCATTCCATATGCAGATACTTTTGCTTTCTTTGACCTTTAATCTGCCCATTAGCAATTCCAGGTGGAGGAGGACATGTTGTATCTGAAATAGCAGATAAAACAGAATTTGAAGGACATCCTGAAAATCTGCTCTCCCCACCACCCTGCACAGTATTGGATTGCTCACAGAATTTTTTTTTTTTTCCTTTTTTACCTGCCTCATTGTTATGGATAGCGAGCTTCTCAGGTGAATACATAGCATGCAACTGATTCTTGCTAGTTTTTTAACCTTTATTCAATCCAGTTCAGGACTGCTCCATGCAGGTAGGAAAGGTTTCAACCTTCCCACCCAGCCATCTGAGTTCCTAGGCCAAACTTCAGTGCATCTTTACCAAATCCTCATACTCCCCATTTACTATGGTGGAATTTTTATTTTTAGCAGGCATTTCCAAGTCTATTTCTTCCTTCTAAGAGAATGAAACCTGGTAGTCTGGTGTCCTCTAGATGTGTTGAACTACAATTCCCATCATCCACAGCCTGCTAGCACTGGAGATGATAGGAGTTTTAATACAAGAAATGTGGAGACTATCTGAAGGAAAACACGATTTCATGTTCTGTAATTTCATGGATTTCTTGGGACACCTGCACAATCCATCATCTAGAACTGTGATTCTCAAACAATGTCCTGGGACACATAGGACCCTGCAACAGAAGAGCCATTGCATTGCAGGAAATAAATGCATGTAAGCATTAAAAACTTATGTGTGCCCAAATGCACACACACAGAGAAGAGAGGGATTCTACAGAATGAATTGCTCAGACTTTGCCAGCGACTCAGACAGGAAGGCTGTGGATAGGCCCCTCCCATGGCAGGCAAAGATAGGTAGCAAACACTATTTTAAAAATACAGACTTCTGGATGGAATATCAAAGTGCACCTCCAGTTTTATTTCCAAAATCAAATGTGTGGCTGAGCAATGCTCTGGCCTAGTTGCCTCCCATTCATGCTACTTCTCCCTTTTTCTTTCTTACTTCTCTTCTTTTCTCTCTCCCAGGCTTGCCTTCAGCACTGAGCAAAAGGATCTGGAAGTCAGCTCTGAAATGACAAATCCCTACCTTCACACCTTGGTGGCTCAGACCATGTCTTCCTCTCACATGTTACAGTGGCTGATCCCTTCATTGCAAATCCTTCATAGCACTGATAATGCACTTGGTGCCCAGGTGGATAAGAGTTGGCTGCTCCTTTCACAATATCACCATTGGCAACTGTAGGTGGCTCACGGCAGGTTCTGTCTAGAAGGGGAGAAGACCAAATGAATACTGGCTTTATTCACATTCTGGTTTCCCTACATTTTGCCTGATAAACTATCTCTCAATTGATTTCTTACCTGGGAGAAAGATAACAGTGCCTGAGCTTTTCAGACATTCTGAAGATGACAGAATGATGCCAATGCATGAAAATAACGTAAGTTCTCCACCTGGTTTCCTCAGCTGACCTATGCCCTTCCTCTGATGCATATATTCAAGTCCCCCAGAAGTTCAAAAAAAATACCCCCCATAAAGAATATGGAACAGTCTCAAGGCCAGATGTTAGAGGGTGTCCCTTGCAGCTCCCCCTGAAGGGCTTATCACCATTGGGTTTCATCACCACTGGGGTGTCACCAACCATGCTGGGTGGCTCCAAGTCAGAGTCTTTCACAGTCAGCTGACTCAGGTTGTCAATCAGCCCCGGAAGGTCTGTTTTTCTTTCTTGTGCTGCTCTGCTGCTAATGAACTTTTCCCATAGAAGAAGTAGCTGGAGTGAGCAACATTCCCGGATGGGGCCTCAAGAAGGAAGATAAGGCTCACCCGTTGGTGTACACTAGAGATCTCTTATGCCTTGCATGATAATATACAAATATTCTTCAAGAGGAAAGCAAAATCCCTCACTATGCACTAGAATGTGCCCCATCACTTTGTGCAACAACACAACATTGGAATGGTGGCTTAACTCAACAAAGATTGACTTTCTCAACAAGTATGAATGCAGTACATTATTTCTTTTCACCAAAATGTAAAAGAAATAGGTTATTTGCTTGTCCGCAAATGAAAATAAAGAGGTAAAAAATGTTGATTTCCAATACTTTTTAATGAGTTAAACCTGTGGCATTTTATCACATAGGTTTGAAATTTAACAAAATTATAGGCTTTGACATGTAGATGGTGGATGCTAATTTCAAATGATCAGATCAGTGGGTTTCCCAAAGGAAAAGTTCCCATAGGGCTGAACAGATTCCTTGAAAAGTGTGATGCTGGAGATGGGTGCCAACTGTGTTCCAGGGTGCACTCTTTGCTCACTTGTACCAAACTAGGAGTGGCCAATTCTCTAAACTGAGTAGGTACTATGGGCTATGCCCATTGTAATGGTCTGGGGCAGATGTACTCAGCTTCCTCAGGATTACAATCTGAAAAGTGCTCCCTGAGGCAGGTCCAGGTGATGCAGAATCTCTTTAAATAAGCAAACAAGCATTGGCTTGCCCAACTCTTCCATAATCATGACACTTACTGCCACACTCTGGTGCAGGTGACCATCCATTCCTTGTGCATTCGGCAAAATGCTGCTCTTTGTCTACCCGAGAACTGCTGTCACAGGTGATAAGAATAAAATCCTCATATTGGTACACATTTCTTTGTGGTCTGAAAGTACCAGCAGCCACACTTGGGGAATTACATGTAATTTCTAGAAAGAAAGATGGGTGACAACATCTGCTTAGATTATGGGAAATAATTCAAACATTATTTATGAATAATTTTAGGAAGACTCAGAAAGTATGACACAAATAGAAAAACTGGTGATAAAATCCTCTTGGATGATGGATGTGGCCTTCCTTTTTCATGGAAATTGATTTTAAAAAATGGCACCTATTACACAGCGATGTAAGTGTATGGGGGATTGTATAGCATACCATATACACCAATGCATGCATACACATACAACACACCCTCCAATCTAAATGTCAAATGAAGCAAGAAAGAATGGAAAGGGAAAGGTCACAATGATTCAAGTTGGGAGAAAAATGGGAGAAGAAAAAGCATAACACAGGAAGAAGAAAAGAGAATGCATGCACAGAATCTAGATTGAGCAAGGGGTGTTGATCCATAATGACTCTGACCAAAGCTATGCACATTTAACGAAATGACTAGCTCTACTACACTTTGAGAAGTAAACAAAATTAAGGCTGCATCCTAAGATCTACTTAATATGGAATAAACTGCATTCGACACAATGGAATGGACTCCTGAGTAAACAGGCATAGAATTGTTGTGTAAGAGGACAATTGCAAGGAGATGCCTGCAATTGCAGATATTGGCAAGTAATCAGAAACAGCATGGAGGAGCAACTGCTTTCTTCCCAGGCCAGGCTGAATTGTGAGAATTGGTTGAGAATGGCAACCTTTTTGCAGGGTTGCCCAGTGAAATTGCTCCTAGAAACTAGCTGTAGAAACAGAAGAGGGGCTTTCATATCCTATACCATTAACTAGAGGCACACTTTTGTTCATCCTAGCAACCAGTTTGGTATATGTCTTGGTATCTTTCCAGAGTTTTCAACATTCTAATACAAAATTCAGGACTGGAATGGCATGGTATTCTCCCAGACTAAGGTTCTTAAACATAATGGTGGTATTTTTCTTATACCTCTGCTGTGCCATTGTATTTCCTTTAGATGTATCCCATAGATGTTTTAATAAACATTTAATATACAGGTTTAAGTTCTCACATTATGTTTGTCATGTTTGACATTTCACACTTTCATCTGCCCAGAGAGACTAGTTAGTGTAGTTCTAGTAGTAACACAATTATATATTACCAAAAAAAGAGGTTCCATGCCAAAGGAATGCATCCAAAGACATCTGCATACTAGCAAAACCCACTGCTAACACAGTGGGGAATGAATACTTCTAAAAATAAAACCCAAACAAATAGAAATTCTGCATCTTTGCAGAGTTCCTTTTTGAATAAATTGCGTGGAAGCAAGTGGTATGCTTGGATACTGCTATCCTTTGAGCCACCTTTCTCGACATTGTTGTAATTGCTATTTAACTGCAGAAAAGCATTAGGATGCTCGTGGCATTCCATTGGGAATTCTATTCTGTTAGGACTAGCTCTGTCTCAGATGGTTGGAAATAAAGCGCCATGGCACCTTTGCATTCAGGAAACACAATTGGCTTGCCAACACACTGGATCACAAAGGCAACCTGAGAAGGATTTGTGACAAGGGAGTATCCTGATTTACACGTGAGCTCAACAGAATGACCACGTTGCACATACATATTCTGAAACCCAGTCTCATTTGAATTCAGCTCTATCTTCTGGCCTTCCATTTCAGCCAGTGAGATCCTGCATGGCTCTGTAATGAGAAAATACATAATTGTGTTAGTATCCATAAGTCAGATAGTATCCATGATTAACACTGCTGTATCGGAGAACAGGAAAAAATGTAGTATACAGCAAAATTAGTATTTAGGGTTGTTAGATCCAAAGCTTTAACTTGCTGACAACATAATATTATTTAGCATGTATATAAGAATGTTGAAATAGTGAAAGTATTTCAGTAGATTATGATATCCCATAAATTCTCCAACAGGAAAAGTCAGTATTATTATGCCTTCTGTCTTGCATGGGGGAAAATAGTGGTTAGTTTCATTCCATCAAAAGGTCATGTGTTGGAGGCATATTATGAACTGGAAATTTTCCTTGCCATCTTTCATGTGCTTTTTAATGATGCCAAGAAGAACAGCAAAACAAACTCTGAGACATATCACATAAAGAAGAGAATTGCTGTCAGCAAAATTAACAGTTACAATCAAAGGAAAGCCATTCATTGGTCCAAATCATGTATTCAAATACTGCCATTTTGGGCCTTACCTAAGCAAGCAGGCACTTTGGTCCAGTTCCCATTGTCACAAAAAGACTTGTTATGTCCTTCCATAGCATAATATTTTTGGCATTTGAATTCTACTGAAGAACCAGAGGTGTACTGCTCCTGATACCAAGTAACAATGTCTCCATTTTGAATAGTGGGTGGGTGGCTGCAGTTTTTCCCTCTTTCTGGTACATAAGGAAAGAACAAGGATGACAACTTTGGCCAAATTATTGAACTAAATTTATTTATCAAACGTTGTATATTTGAATGGCATGCTTACCAGAGATACACGATGGCAAATCCATGTGCCCATCAAGACACTTCTGCACTGCAGGGGCTGTAAGCACACGTCCTTCTTCGCACATGAACTGCAGCATTTGATTAGTCTGAACTATTTCAGAATGTCTCTGGCTCCCGGACAAAAACAAGTTTTTTGCCTCTAGCTGTTGTTTTGCAATAGTGCAAGGTGCTAAAATAAATAAGAAAAGCACAAGGCAGGACTCCTCATAGTGACATGTCACATTTCCTACTTTAGGAACATCTTCCATAAATCTGGTTAACTAATTAACAATGACCATAATTAACTCAGCCACCTAGACTATGGGACTTCCATGAATTCAATAGCCCCGTCTGCTTTCTGTATGTGCTTGCTGTAAGTGCTGTTCTGAAAGAAAAGGTTTAGATCAAAGATTTGACAGGCAAAAATCTGTATGAACTATTTCTCCTCTGAAATGCCAATGTTATTTATGAGGGGCAATAAGAAACATTTATTTAATCCTTTATTTATTTAAAGCTTTCTAACAAAATGGGCTTGAAGCAATAAGATATCAAAGTATCAGGTGATAAATTTCCATGAGAATTTTAAAAGGGGCGTATGAAGAGCAGTTCTGGGAAGCCAAAGATGATCCTCCACTTAAGCTTAATCAGAGCCATTGTTTTGCTTTTGAAAAGCAGAAAGTTGCTGCAACATGGGCAAAGTCTATTGTTGACTGGAAGTGACTTCTAAATACTTGGTAAATAAAAACAGCTAACCAGAAAGAACAGGGTAAAAATAGTAGAGATAGAAAGTTAAAAGGTCAGGCTTGTATCTTCTCCTGCAAGGACCACAGGATTGTGGTCTTAGTTTCAAAAGATGTGAATTATTTACTGTATTTTTCGCTCTATAAGATGCACTTTTTTCCCCCTCAAAAGTAAGGGGAAATGTCTGTGCATCTTATAGAGCAAATGTGTGTGTGCCCGATGCCTGGGATGCTGCCGGCCACCTGCACCACGTGGCACCACCTGGTCGGCATGCGCTTGTCGCGCCCTGCTCTGCCCCCCCCCTCCAGCGCAGGTGAGAGCTGTGCCGCTCAGGGGGAGAGGTGCAGAGGAGGAGGAGCCACAGGCTTTAACCCACCAGCCACATGGAGAGACGGACTGCTCACCCCCACCGCCCGGGAACTGCTCACCCCCACCACCTGGGAAGACCTGCCACCGCGCCACCCGGAAGACCACCGCCGGCACGCTGCCGGCTCCACGTGGCACCACCTGGCCAGCATGTGCTCGGCACGCCCTGCTCCACCCCCCTCCTCCGGCACAGGTGAGAGCTGTTAATCACAGGTCGGTGTGTGTTTTCAAATGGCAACCCGTCTTTTAATGAAGCCCTTGGGGAAGTGATGGGGAAAGTGCCTGTGATTATCAGGAAGCTTTCCATGGATCAGTTATCTGTGAGTTGATCAGACACATTTTTTTTAGGATCAGTGGATATTTGAACAGCATTACCTTCGTGTATGAAGTTTATTCTTCAAAGGCTACTTAGTCCACTGTGTGTTTGATTTATCGCACAATATCTCAGTTTTTGTCAGAAGTTTTTTTCTATTATTTACTAGTAGGGCAGCGTGGACATTACTGGCTTTTTTAGATTTGTTATTGAATTGTCTGCAGCAGCTCTTGTATAACTGGTGTAGATTGTGGATTCCTTCAAAAATTCCACTACTGACTAAGAAAGTGATGTCAGTGATTGTGAGCAACAGAGCTTCATAAATTCTGACTCTAGTGATGATGAGTTCTATGGGTTCAACAAAAACTAGAAGAGTACTCGAACTTTAAAGTGTCTCTTTTGTTAATGACAGTGATGATGGTTCTTAAAGCCACTGTTGACTGCTGTTCACTTTACAAGGTTGAAATACGGTATTACTGTATTCTGTTATAGTTTATTAAATAGTTTAGTAAACCATTTGATTCAGAATATTTTTTTTCTTGTTTTCCTCCTCTAAAAACTAGGTGCGTCTTATAGAGCAAAAAATATGGTCGTTTTGCTGTGAGTTCCTCAAGTAATTAAACTAGTAATTCTGCAAATCCATTAATAGCAACACATATAGAGAATAATCTGAGGTCCCATGAGGTCATAGGACACTGCAGACTTCATCTTACAATTTTGGGAGAAGAAAAGTTGAGCAGGAATTCCAACCCCACCCCACAGCTGATCTAGAATCTCCATATAGCTCTCTTCTGAGGTTACACTAGTATTCTAACTGTTTGCAATTGGATACTCGATCAGCAAGGGGTTCTGCACTTGGAGGCCTGCCTCTGCAGAAAGAAGAGCCCACAGGATTGCATTCATTGCAGGTCTGCATGAATGGACCGGTCAACTTCCAATGCAAACAAGGCCATGTTTGTCATTCCACCTTCTGGACAGCATTCAGTGCTATCTCCTGTTAACATTAATGCATTAATAAACTCCATCTGTTAAGTGGCTTGTGGTACATGCAGCTCAAAATTGATCCTCAAAGATTCTGCCACCAACAAATGGGCAGAAAGGAATAATTTGGGGTAATACAGCACTGAACAAATCCCAAATTTCTCATCCTTTTTAATTTATAACAAATACTGCATTTCCTTAGTTCAGCATTCCAGATTCCCTTCATAACTTACCATTTTGGGAAGTGCAACACTGCCACAGCAGAAATGGGATAATCCAGACCAGCCAGCACTTCAGGCAACCGACGGTCATTCTGTGCCACAGACTCTTGTCTTTGACTACCTAAATATTGGTCTCTGGTTCTCTTTCTGATCTGATGTTATTTCCTTATTTTGCTGCGTTCTTAATGTAGGAAAGTGGAAGCAGGAAAAGTTACTGGCATGAAGCACATAAACTTCTCAGCTGAATGGCGAATGTTTGCAAAAGGTTGGCGATTTTTATGTTGCAAACTTGGTGGCAGCAGCTAAAGCAAAAGTTCAGTGTAACATTGACAGCTAGCAACTAGGTGGAAATACCCTGCCTGCTTGGGTTGCTAACTTCCAAGGCAGGCTCTTTAAATGTTTATTTAAGCCAGTATGTTCTGGAGCCATTAGCAGAACTAAATCCAGGGCAGGACTTGTTCCTGAACTGCTCCCCACACAAGTCAACCAGTCTAACCAAGTTACTTTAGCATCTGAGGGGGGAAATAATCCCATAATCACCTTCCCTGCTTCCTGGCAGTAAACATGGCAATTACATGGTTTAAAAATTGTTAATATATGCATGTACATATATTGTACATATGGTCACTGTATTGCATCGTTACGTTTACCATTCTCATCTTCTGCATTCCTGTAAACTGTCTTGGTGGGCTCCAGAAATTTAGGGTAGAAATGCAATCAATCAATCAATGTTGTTTTCACTTTAAAAGACTCAAGAGAGATTCTTATTGAAACAAGCCTGTGAGGCTGACATTCCAGCAGGGGCTTAGGGCTCACAGCCAGCACTGGAAGAACAGTGCCATCTGCCTCTCCATGGCTGGAAACTGACCACAGAGAGGATGCAGAGGGGTGCCTGGGGTCAGGGAGGAGGGAAACAGCCATCCAGGGGACATACAGGGTGCAAGGCACCAGGCAGCAAAGACTAGCCCCACCTTGCCTCCCCCATCTCGCACTTCGCACATCCATGCACACTCAGTCTCTGTGTTCAAAAGTTCTTGAGTATCAAAAGAAAACTGCACCCTAAGTGACTTTGCACCTCAATTAAACTCCTTAAATCTCACAACCATATCCAGGTGCTGAGGACAATCCTCTTCCAACACCAAAACTCTTTTTCTGCTTTTAACTGCTTGCAAAGTGTAGCTGGTTCCAAGACTCTATTCTTTAACTTGCTTCTGGGGAGACCTTTTCACAGGGCAGCCTGATGGACCCCTTCTTCTGATCTTCACCAGCAAAGCATAGTTTCTCATGACACTCAAGCCTCGGCTAGTGATTGTCACACACCTGTCTCCAAGCCAGTTTTTTTTCTGGTAGTCAGGTAACTGCTCCTTTCCTCATGCTGGGCAGAAAACTGAACCCATTAGAATCTGAGATTTCTCAAGGCAGATAAGATGGCTTCACATGGACCAGGACCTATCTATCAATATTAAATACATTTTTTCTCCTTGTAACCTCCTTCCAGAACTTGTCATCAAGCAACTGCCACTAAATAAGCTTCCAACGTATTTGTTTATTTCATTTATATCCCACTATTTTTCCTACTGAGGAACTCAAGGTAGCTTCCATATGTCTCCTCCTCTTCTTAATCTTATCCCCACAACAACAACCCTGTGAGGTATGTTGGGATGAGAGCCTGTGACTGCCCAAAGTCACCCAGTTTGAGCAGGGACTAAAATCCAGATTACCTGAGTCTCACTCCCACACTGTTAACCACAACAGTATAAGAATTATATTTACAAAACAGCAGTTTCAAATGGACCTTTGCCAGCTTCTGCCATGAGATGCATATTTTCATGGGTTAGTCCTATGGACATCTCATGGCACTTCCCTGTGGAATTGGCACTATGCAGCCACTGCATGCTGGCGAAACTGAAATGGCTCTCATGTCACTGCTGCAACGGGCACCAACATGAAACTATGAAGATGGTCTTAGTGGGATCAGGCAAGCTTCTCCATGGTCTCCCAGGAGCATAAGAGACACGATGGAGGTGGCAGCAATTGCACGGCATATCGTTCTGTAAAACAGGGTTCTCGGTCAGTTCTCTCTAAAGGTCTAGTGTGCATTAGAGCACATGAATTTCCATCACAGCTGCATTTCCATTTTCCCCTGAGGAAAAATAGCTCTAATCTTCTTTTCTATATTTGACCGAATGGGGTGGATGCTTCTCACAGTAAGTGGTGCAGTGTTCTAGAGTAAATACTTCCAACATTCAGAACTGTTTCTTCCATTGCATATGTATTCTCAGCAGTAAACTTTGATGAACGACATTACACACATGGAGGACTTGAATGTTTCATTTATTTCAAATGGATGCACTATGCAGATATGAAGATTTTCTTTATAGATATATAAAGGTATCTTATATATGCTATATTATCTCTATCTTCATGTTTTTAGGAAACATTTGTCTGACAGAGAACCACAAAATCCTAGAATTAATGATACTACATTGCTGTTGACCTTAATGTACTTCATGATTTTATTGTGGATAAAAATAGCGAAGATTAAACGAAGGAAAGATATATATTTACATACCCCAATTTAATGTGTTGGCATTGCTTTAATAAAAGCAAATACGTTTTACAAAATTAGAAGCAAATTTCTTCATACTCACTCAGACCATGTTGCAGTATGTTCCCAACTCCTTTTCATCCTCCCCTCTTTCAAAAGCATTTTCATCATATTTCAGGATACTCATGATCAGTATCTTGTGTTCTTTTCTTTCCTTTTTAAAAACCTAATTGAAACAACAGGGCTGAGGGCAAAAACTAAACCAGGACCATGGCCCTGTGGAAGGTGCTTTAGTCCATCCTCACAACCAGTTTTCCTGAAACTCTCTTCCATACTAGTTGGGCTAAGCATAAGATGTATGTGGCCCATTTTTATTCCTCTTCCACCCATGAGCCATACACTCAAGGTGCTGATGGCAGGGGTTTAAAAAAAGGAGTTGGCAGTTTGCTTCCTGAATTCAGTAGCAAACCACGACAGAGGTCAAATGTACCCTGAGCACAAAGCAAATGTATCTGGAGAACATTGGATAGATTTGCTTGGTGGCCTGCACTTCAGTGGTGCAACTGCAAGACAGGTTATTTAGGTGGCAGTGGGGCATACATGTGGCCCACAGGTCACACTCCTTGATCTAGACACTGGCTTCTTCCACAGTAGCAGTCTTCCATTTTGTTTTTCAAATCAGGAAAGTTGCCTCTCAGGAGGAACCAAGAAGGCACTCAGGATCTTTGCCCATGATTCCTGTTCCTCCACCCCAAAGGAAAATCAGTTTACAACTCATTGCCAGCACAAAGCTCTGGCAGCACATCGTAATTCCACTGTAATTATACACAGCCAAAGTTTTATTTCAAGCCTGGATGGGCAAAACACACATCTCCAGAAGTTTCAGATGTCAAATCCCCAGTGTCTGTGCCAGTGCTGTGAGTTGACATCTCGTACATCTAGAGATCTACCTTCTGCCCACCCCTACTTGGGATGCTAGTCCACATTGGTAAGCTCAATGTTTTGAGGCAGAAATGTGAATGCAAAACACTGTTGCACTTTTTCCTTCCTATAACTTTAGGCTTCTAATTGTTTTATATGAATGTTGTTAGAAATTCTCTCTTGCAGCCTTTTGAGAACTTTTCCCATAATGAAGTTTGCAGGTGTGGCTTCGCTAAAGTAGTTTAGGTTGATTATCCATTCCAAACAGCTGCATTCACTGGGGAAAATAGTTGAAGAAGCAGCACCAGCACCAGCTTTTGGCAGTTGTAGGGATGACCGATTAAGGATTTTGCAGACCCTATGTTGTCTAAAAATGCCTGTTAAATATTTCCTGTAAAATAGAAAGTAAACAGTTAGAAGATGAGGTTGAAAACTTGGCCAGTTTGCACAGCATTTTAAATTCCTTGAAATTCTAAGCATGCACTGTGGTTAAAATACTTCTGTGCCTGAACAGATGAATAAGTAAAGCAGAGGTTGTGTGCCTTCTCCTCCCTCATTTCCCCCACAACTCTCCCCCTTGGTCCTCTCAGGGTATACTGGGATACAGCAAGCAGGTTGACTCTGTGTGAGACAGAGAGATCACAAAAGCTGTGATCCAAAGCTATCCCAGTCCTGTTTGGCACATGTGGGAAGTGCTCCTCTAAGGATGCCCGATGGCACCTTGGAAGAGGTTGCCTATGGTTCCTTCCTCCCCTTTGCATGGCACCAACCTGTCCAAGTATGACCAGGGACCATGATACATGGAAAGGGGCAGTTTCCCTTGTATTTCTTGTGCAATCCCCTTTCTTTGGAGAGGTCTGCCACCCCAGGTTTTCCCCAAACAGGTGGGATAGAAACTCCCAACTTTCCCACCAATGTGTTAGCTGGGGCAAAGATTTAACTGGTAGAGTTATCTGGGCAAAAACCCAGGTATTTGGTCCATGTGAAATAAAAACACATTACTCATTATCTCAATGTTATCATTAGTAAATTTAGAATCTGTTCTTTGAAAAAGGAGACTAGTTTTCATTGTTCTTCATTATAATGAAGAAAAGCATTTCCCTGACAGTCATATCAAATGACTAGTGTTTACACTAGTTAAAAGAGTGTAGAAAATTCTCAACTGGATTACTACCACAGAAAGAGAGGCACAATTGATCACAAAATCCTTATCTGTTTCTAAGGGAAAACTGTCTCCCTTTCAAAATCATCTAATGCTACCTTGCAAAAGAAAGAAGCGGGGGGAGGAGTGGGATAACCAGTGGATGCTTTCAGAAATCACAGCCTCTTGCCTTACAATTTCATTTATCATGACAATCCCCAAATTTAAGATTTTGGTACAAGAACAAAGATATTACTACTTGATCTCCACTTGTGGCTCAGTTTGATAAAGCTTATGTGGTTTCAGGTGCTACCTGAATATCAATTTATAAAAATTAGCTTTAAAGACAATACATCCTGCAGACTACATAATATATTTCCACATCCAATTCTATACCTGTTTTCAAATGTTCTGAGATGGAAGTTGGTAAACGGCCAAAGGATTCATAATCTGTTTCTGTAGGGGCAAGAAATCCAGTATGCTTTTATACCAAATCTTAAATAAATTATTAATAACAGCCAAGTGCTTCACATATGCCAAGGCCTTTCTGTTCCTCAATTGCCTGTGCAATGTTTGAGTCACAATTCTAACTTTCTTATCAACTGGCAACAACTTCCAGGACATCTTTTTCCACTAAGCTATAACGGATTTACTTGTAGTGGGATACTGAAAAAGAAGAAGTGCACAGAAGACCAAATATTCATTTTTTATCATTAAGATTCTACCAACCCAGGAAGGTTCTTTTGTGTGACCCCTCAAATACATGTCGAAAAGCACCTAACTGTTATAATGTAACAGTAGAAAACTTATTGTAGCAACCAGGAAGTGCAATTTACCATTCACTATCCTTAGGTTGACGCGAAAACAGAAAATGGTGGATGAAGAATAAGCATGTGTCACCATTTTGGGGCCTTGGAAGAACCCTCAGTTGGTGTTCAACTGGAGAAGGAACATGTGAATTGGGCTATGCTACCGGGTAGCCATCTGCTATAATTTACATATTTTTGGAATTATTCTCTCTGTGTCTTGATACTTCAATTCTACTTTCTTGTATTGTCCCCTACTTTGGGTCTCTTTTTCCAAATAATGAAATGCATATTTTATATTGTTATATTGTCTTTCCAACCTTAGATTGGGATAGTCCCAGGTTCAGAGATTATTTGAAGAGGAATTTGTCAAAATGACAGATTGCTTTACCTTCATAACATTCTGGCAAATCCACATGTCCATCAACACATGTTGCTTTTAAAGGTTTTACTAAACCGTATCCTTGTGCGCACACAAATTCCACTGAAGTGTTGTGCTCAAGCTGTTGTGAATGATCTTGGTGATCAGGAAAAAGTATGTGGTTGGCCTTCAACTGCTCTTGTGTAATGATACAGGGTGCTAAAAAGAGAAAAGCGGGTATTTTATTATACACAATGTGAGCTCTCTTCACCCTGCAAAAGTTGTGGCAGTTGGCCTTTGCTGCACTGGTGGAGGGTGGATGAATAAGACATCAAGGGTCCGAAATCCATTGTATTCATTTGCGGTTCCACCACACAGCTGAGTTCTGAGCCCTGCATGAAGAGTACTTCCTTCCATGCTTTCCACTGTCTTAGAGCCAGTGTGGTACAGAGGTTAAGAGTGATGGGCTTGTAGTGCCCATTAAACTCACCGGCTGACTTTGGGCGAGTCATGGACTCCCAGCCTAAGCTGCATCACAGAGTCGTTTTTGTAGTGAGAAAGAAATGGAGAGAACTTTGTAAGCCACCTTCCTTGCAAGAGGAAGAAAGGTGGCCTATAAATGTAATAATGATGATAGCTTAAATTATTCTGAAAAGTGACTGGAAATAAGGCAAAAGTGGATTGACTCACACCACCTTGCTTCATGGAAAGCGTGGTAAGGGCGGATGGACGGAAGGATGGCTGAAAGGCAGACTACACCAAACTGAGGCTACTGGATGTAACCAGTGCCAGCCACTGACAAAATGTCCAAGTGCGCACATTTTTAAAAGACCAGGCAATTACAGGCAGCTCCTCCGGGGGGGGGGGTCATATTTTCTAAAATATAGCAATGTTTAAAGCGGGGAGCCACAGAGAGGACAAAATGGCTTGCAAAAGGGATGAGGGAAGGATCCATTCCTCATGCAGTGTCCCTGGAATACCCGCCAGAGAAGCAAGGGTCCAGAGGGTGTTGAAAGAAGGCTAATTCTGTGAAGGGTTACGAAGATGAAGCCCTCTCTGAACACAGAGGCACGTAAGTAAGTACTCATCTACCCATTTATTGGTTTCTTTGCATTTTGTTTTCACCTTTTTCTGGAACATTCTAACAATGCTTCCCTTTTTTAAAAAAGGGGTAAATTAAACATGTACCTTTAGCTCCAGACTAAGGCAAGCTCATGTTGATTCAAGCTTCTTAAAACTAGAATATTTGAAATGAGGATAGTGCTTTAGCAGTGCACCCCATGATGGGAGCAGATGTGGGAAATGTCTACAATCATGCTTGTATCACTAAGCATGATTGTACAATCACTAAGCATCCATGTAGCAGCACTTCTCCCCTGTGTCTGGACTTGATTAAGGAAAAGGATGGAAAGCCTGGGACAAGCATTACCCATGAGTCAAGAGAATATGTCCTCTTTTCTTTATGAAGCATCTCCACCTGGCTAGAAGAACCCTCCCATTACATGCACAGCCTTACAAAACCAGGTGCCCTCCAGATGTCTTGGACCACAGCACAGAAAGACCCAGATGCAACACAGAGCAAAAGCTGGCAGACATGAGTTCCAGCTTGAGGAACCTGGTCCCTGGAACCTTTGCATCTCACCAGGTGTTCTCAGATGTGCAGGGAGAAGCAACCTTTTGTGTTACACATCCCCAACATTGTTTAACCTTGTGGCAAGCAAAGAAACTATGCCAACTCACCCAAACACTTTGGTAGAGGCTCCCACTGTTCTGCAGAGCATGTTACTGATTCAGATCCTTCCATGACATATCCAGGGCTGCACTGAAAATGTACAGTTTTACGTCCTGGGACTGCCTCGATTCCTACAATGCTTCCGAAATCAACTTCAGGCATTTCATGGTCACATACTAGAATGTTATTTAGCATCCATATTATGAACAATCCAAAACTACAACTGTTTCAACTTTAATTCAATTTTCAAGTTTACTTTGTTGTTATTTGATAAATTAATTGACATTTACACAGGTTTTGTCCATGGATTGCAGTGACATTTGTGGCTACTTACTCATGTTCTTTATATGGATACTCTTGAAGTTTATTATTATTATTATTATTATTATTATTATTATTATTATTATTATAACATTTCTATGCAAGTTCTGCATTGCTACTTCTGTATGAGGGTCCTCCTCTCTATTTGCAAATTTATTCAGGGTGCAATCCTTTAACCTCCCAACATTGTCTGCAGGACCATAGGTGTATTTGGAATCCCAGTGATGAGCTCCCTCAACTGAGACTCCAAATGTAGGACCATCCCCTGCAGCTGGCATGAAAAGAACCACACTGGCTGCATCTGGGGTTGGACATCAACCTCAGAGAGGACTGGAGGTACACAGTGAGGATGGGAATGCACAGGACAGCTGGGTCTGGCAGCTCATGCCTTAACAAAATGGTACCTGGGCCTCATCCTTTCCCCTCTGCATCACTTCATCTAGACAGTCAGGAATGTTTGTCTAGAAGGAATACGAAGTGCACCAAGTATCACTGCCAAAGCATCTCACCTTCTGCATTAGACTCATGTAAGGCTCCATGTTGGAAGGATTAAATGTACTGAGGATGATGGCACAAGATCGTGCCCTTTACTTGTCAAAAATCTGATCAACTGTTGCACCAGAGGTCACATTAAGTGAATCATCAATTACATTTCCAATAGCCTTTGGCTCAATGGCCAGAATATAGCAGCTAACTAGGACAACTGAGTTATTCAACAAGCAGCAGCAATCATGTGAGTCTCTCCAAATGGAAGCATTCTTCATGCGTTGCATCAAATTGTCATTAAATTTTCATCAAGAACAGGTACTGTTTTATCAATGGGAGAGAAGCTGGCAAAGAACAAGAGGGAACAGTTAATCCATTCCATATGAGGAGGTCTTGCAAGTAGATATGACTTGTTCTTGCTTCAAGAGACTGTTCTGACTCAGATTATATATTTAATGAACAGCTATGTCAGAGAAGTCATCATGAACCAGCTTTAGCAACCCAAAAAGGGACAGACACCATTTCATGGAGTATATAGTTGACCAGAGAAGGTGTTCCCTAGAATGCAACACAGACTAACCTTCAGTACATGATGGCAGTTCTATGTGCCCATCAATACAGGTCCTGGACCAAGGTGACATCCTCTTATTTCTTTCCTTGCATGTAAATTGCACTGTGGTGTTATGTTCAAACACCCGAGAGTGCTCTCCATAGGGATGGAAATTCAGGTGTTTGACTTCAAGCTGTTCTTTTGTGACCGTGCAAGGTGCTAAAGAGGGATAAAAGAGTTTTATTATATGCACATTATACATATATGCATCATACATACACATGTTATATTCTAGTAACCCTGAAATGTGACTAGAGAGTTCTTGTAGTCAATCCTTCAGCAGACCAGCTGGAGAGGAAAAGTCAGATGTTAAGGGGCTTATTGTGGCTGAAGCATCCTTAGAAAAACATGTCCTCTTTATTATCTTCTCCTGAACAGAGTTACTGGGACAATCTTGGCTGCCATATCCCTTAGCAATTTCATCTCAGCCAAGAAATGCATAGATTCCAGGTGCATCCATGGAAAGTCTCAGTTTTATTTGCAAACACATCAGGCAACCTCTCTTTAGTATAGTCGGATGTTCACCATATTGTATAAACCCAATTCTGATGTGCAACCATTGTGGTTGATTGTGGTGGTCAACCATGATAAGACACAATGGTGTGCCGTAGGATTTGTTCCCACCATGATTGACTGTTGTGTCATCCAAAGCAGGGAGAACTGTTTTAGCATTGGTGGGGAAAGTGGGGAAACAAATAGCCACTCAGGTCTGTCACTGATGTCTTCCTAGCCATATACAGTATATGTCACTGCTTGCTTTCACAGGGTCTCTCTTCTTACAAGGCATAATCATCACCTTTATGGTAGACCATGTAGAATCCCAGGGAGTAGGGGAGAAGGGAGAACATAAACAGCATTTGTGATGAGCGATTAGGTTGGCATTGGCTGGGTGAAGAGGAAGTCATGCCACAGTTTTTCCTGGAGGGACCAGGAATGGACATGTGATGGTGGATGCAGAGAACACTTCTCCGTGGTGAAAGTGTCAGTGAGAAAAGTTGCAGGCAGGGAAGTGTGTGGCCACCATACACTGGAAGCAAAGGTATTTTCAACTGGGAACAATGAAAGGGATTTTGGTAGGTTACCAAAAATGAAAACAAGTGTTCAAGATTCTTGCAGGAGGCCAGAGAGGACCCAATCTTGAGCAGGCTACCTACACAGAGAGGGAGGGACTGCACCTGGAATGAATGGCCAGAAGGGGAAGTAGTATTGGGTGAGAACCAAACCAACATAATCACTGGTAACCAGGATCATCTCTTGGGATCCATCACTGTAACTCACCAACAATCATGGTAACTTAACACTGTTGGTTGTGGTGATGGGTGAACATACCCTTTATCTAGCATAAAGCCTTGCAAACATCTCTCTTCTTGTCTTTCTTCTTGAAAGTAGCCTCTTCAGCCTTGCCCAATCCCTTTCCCAGCTAGGGCAGACAGCAGCAAGCTGCCTAACAATGGACGGAGAGAAGAATATCTGTCCTCTGCACATTTGTGTTGTTCCCAGTATAGACACTGATGCAGCACAGATAATGACAAATCTTTCAGACTGATTCAGATCCCTATTTACACAGGAAACTACCACTGGCTATGGAGCAAGGTCAGCAGAAGGCGGGAAACCCATTCTTTTCCAATGATTCAGCACATCAAAGCACTAACCCTGAACTTACATTTTCTATAGTTTGAGTGCCCTACACAGAGAAGCCTGATAGTGATGCATATGTGAGAATTCTCTCCTGCCCTGCATTTTTCAGTAGGTGTAATCTCTACTCCAAGATGTTTGGTTCTGGACTTTTCACATAGGAAAGAGAGCCAAATTGGCTATGGAGGATGGTACATAAAAGGATGGATGGATGGATGGATGGATGGATGGATGGATGGATGGATCCAAACACACTCACATTCTGCAGGGTGAACCAACCTTGTTAAGTCATCCTGCATATTTTCCATTATTGCTTTAAACTTGCAACAAACAAAAAAAATATGTCATCTTACCCAAACACTTTGGTAGAGCTCCCCACACTCCTCCAGTACACGTTACAGAGCTAGATCCTTCCATGATATATCCATGGTTGCACTCAAACGTGGCTTCGCTACGTCCTATTACTCCTGCCATAGATACGGGCTTTCCAAAATTAATTCCTGGTGGTAGCCTGTTACATGCTAGAATATCATTTAGAAATAACATTATGAAAAATTCAGAACTAAAGTAACACTTCTCTCAAATTTAGTTCCATTCTCAAGATTACTTTGCTGTCAGTATTTAATAAATAATGCTTACAGTTTTTGCCCATAAGTAGCATTGACATTTCTGATGAAAAATGTCCCTTTTATTCTTCTTTCTTTGGCTAATTAAGAATCTAAGCTGTGCTGTGCTGGACTGGACCAAGGGTTCATCCAGTCCAGTACTCTCCTCATTCATCTTCCAACCAGACACTGGTGGGAAGTCACCAAGGAGGACAAAAGTTCAAATCCACCTTCTTGTTCCTGTTTTCAAGCAACTGGTATGCAGAGCTACACCATCACTGGTACTGGAGGTAGCAAGCAGCCATCAGGACTAGTGCCTTTTGATAACCTTCTCCTCCATGGATTTGTCTAATCCACTTTAAAGTCATCCAACTGAGAGACCATCAAAACACCCTGTTCAGCAAATGCCACAGTTCAGTTCTTCACACTGTGGGGAAGTCCATCCTTTCTCTATCCTGAAATGCTCTATCCTGAAAGTATAATGTATGGGATAGTCTTGTACCCCAGCTGGCTATCTACCTTCACAACTATTGTTCTTGTTGTTGTTGTTGTTGTTGTTATTATTATTATTATTATTATTATTATTATTATTATTATTATTATTATTATTACATTTTTATACTGCCCATAGCCAAAGCTCTCTAGGCAGTTGACAGCAATAATCATAGAATCATACACTCAAGTCACCCATCCCACTTCTGCCCAGGCCTGACCCTGCTTAGCTTCCAAGATTAGGCAGGATCAGGCACTTCAGGCTACATGGATTTGGGTTACTACAATTGACTTATGAGGAGAAGACCTTCTTGCCCTGTTGCCAAATTTGCACAGGTCCCTAACCTGTGTCAGCTGAATGTCATGGGGCTCCTGACACTCCATGAGCTGGGATCCCTAGCAAGGTTGCTTGCTTTAGAACGACATGTGCCTAGCTTGCTTTAAGTAGCACTTCAGCGAATCATATTGAAGGTTTTATTTAAAAGCAACACAGGAATGCACAGCTCAACTTCTGGTCTGCACCAGCTTCTATTGAGTAGAAATCTGGGTCAGTCGTGTAAGAGATCCCTTGACGTTCCTTTCTGGAATTTCCAAAATACAGAGTGCAAGGTCCTCTGATGCTTTGGTGTCTTCTGGTTCCGATATTTATCTAGCATGAGACTTATGGCTAAGAACAAAGCTGGGGTGCTCTTGAGAACTGAATGTGAAACATGAGTCTCTCCTATGGGATGTGGTCACTCCTCCTCCTCTCATCTCTCTAAATATTTTGCACAGCCTCACATTATGTCCCCAGCCTACCAGCAACATTTTGCCTGAGGCCAAATTGCCCTGTGTGCATGCGGCCCCTGCAAACCCACCAATCTGCTGTTTGGTGGCAGCCCAATTCTGCTAGGAAATGGGTGCGTCCTCACATGCCCATTTCCCTTCAGAATAAGACCCCAGCAGTCCACAAACAGTGGTTTGGGCAGCTGTTTGGAGCAGATTTTGCTTGGAAATAGGGGTGCATTTCCAAGTGGAAAGTGACCAGCACTGTTGCACTGCTTCCATGATCATCCCAAGTTCTCACTCTGGCAAGATTTTTTTCTTTTCTTTTCTTTTCTTTTCTTTTCTTTTCTTTTCTTTTCTTTTTTCTTTTTTCTTTTTGGTCCCCAGTGGCTGGCCTGTTGAGTATGGGACATAACCAGATATAAAGCAAGAACAGTAGTTTTGCTTTTGCTTTTAAATCATATTCTTCAAATTTAACATCAAAGAATCCTTCTCAGTTGTGAGGCGGTTCTGTTTTAAATAGGGATGGGAAACTTCGGGAGCTCCAAGGCCAGTCTGTTCACCCTACGACCATGCTGGGACTGCATACGCCCCCACAGTTGCTGTGCATGGAGCATGCATGCAGACATACTTCCTGCCCCTGTTTGCATGCATGCACGCACGCGCACATCCCAGCAACTTGGAGCATGACCACCAAAAAGACAGCAAGGTTGAAGCCTCTTCTTCCTCCCCGCAATCATGACCCAAGCCACTGAGGCCCCTGGGGGTTCAGTTTAGCCTCCCGCATCCCAGTTACCTGACTGTCAAGCAGAATCCTAGGAAACAGGCTTGCAGGGAGGGTAATCTCCTTTGCATGCAAAATCTCCTCTCGGGTGGTTTGGTGAACTGCTGGGGTCTGAATCTGCACGGAACTGGGCAACAGTGTCCTCCTTGGCCTCCCATTTCCCAGCAGAATCAGGCTCCTGACAACACACCAAATGGCGGATCGGTGGGTTTGCAGTAATTCCATGCTGTTGTCACGCAGAGGATGCCAAGGCTTCCCAGGGGAAAGGTTTGATTGGTGGCCCACTCAGATGCCCTCCGTGGCCTGCATAAAGTCTACAAACTTGTTTCCTTTTCCATTTGCCACAGATTCACATCCCAAGTGGCAAATTTCTGTGTGGCAAGTGGAAGGAGAAACAGTAGCAGGGGAACCTTTTTTTTCTCAATGCAAACTTAGGAGGTCGAGTGTTGCAATGTTTGGAGCCAAAGGGGGACCACCAAGAAAAAGGGGGAGGTGCCCACATACTTAGGTGGACTTCATATGATGCAGAATTACCATGTGGAAGGGAGAATCCCAAATATCCCAATGAGGGATGGACATAGGTGGAAAACAACCAGTCTCAGCAACTAAGAACCATTTCCCCCATTTTAAAAAGAAACAACTTATTTTCATTACTTACCATCATCAGCAGCAGTACAACATGTCCATAGAAGCAAGGGAACCAGGTATTTCAGCCAGATCATCCTGAATTTCAGCTGCTGTGCTGGATGCAGACTTCACTTTCAGCTGCTAACTGCTTTCAGGACACCAAGACCACTAATGCCTTCCTTATCCTCTAGTATCACCCCTAATACTATGCCCTAGTTAATTATTAGCTACTATGTTTGAGGAGCACAATCTTTGATTGGTGTAAAACTCAGTGGGTAGAGAAAATGATTGATAAAATGATAGGGAAAAGGAGCCTTTTCTGTTGCAACCTTCTGTTGGTTTTGTGGCACAATCTTGGCAGCAAAATTTGGTCAGATCAGCAAAATCTTTCATTAAAAATTCTTTTCAACCACTCTGAGCAAAGTTTACCTGATGCCATGGCCACCTTCCCTCCCACTCTCTGATACCTTCCACATAAGTGAGGCAAGAAAGTAGCCTTGCGATTCTATATATGTCAACTTAGAAGCAAGGCACAGTGAGTTGAGTACGACAAACAGCAAGGTAACTATGTTTAGGAATGGAACCTAAACAGAAAAAGAGGGGGGAAAGCATGGCCTGAAATCTCAGAAATAGTAGTGACTCCGTAGACCAAAAGCAACTACCAAAAAAACCCAAACAAACCCAGAAAGCGAAGAAAATTCATAGGCTCATAGAAGAATAGAGTCAGAAGGGACCTCAAGTCCAACACCCTCATCAATGCAGGGTTACTCTTAAAGTAACACTGACAGATGACCATCCAACTACTTCTTGGACGCCATCTGTGCGGGAGAGGCCACAACCTTCCCTGGTCATTGCTTGCATTACCATCCTGCTCTAACTCTGAGGAAACTTTCTGTGATGTCCAGTCAAAATCTGGCTTCCTGTAACTTGAGCCCTTTATTATTCAGTGTGACAGCCTTTCAGGTATTTGAACAGTGCGCTCATAGATCCCATACGTCTCAAGGCTTAATTTCCCCAATTATTTCAGGCTCTCCTCAGAGGGCTTTTTTCCCAGTCCTTGGACCAGCTTGGTTGCCCTCCTCTGAACCATTTCCAGTCTCGCTGCATCTTACTTAATTGTGGAGCCCAGAACTGAGGGGCGAGAGGTGTTATCCCCTCTCTCTGACAAGGAGAGTGATCCCATGGCCCATTGAACTGGCTGCATTCCCAGAACACAATGGCACCAGCCCCCAAAATCCATTAGTGGGTTGTCATGTTGTGTAGACCCAAGATTGGTTTGTTGTGGTGACTTAATTGGGGCTTTTAAGTCACCATGGCTTGTTGCTGAGGTTGTCTGACCTACACGATAGTTACTGTGTCTTCCATTTCTGGATGATAGGACTCATAGGGGGGGAAATCCATCTCCAGATGATCTTCTTGGCAAGAGAAGCAAACCACCCTTGCTACTCCTGTAGGTGGCTGCCATTCTCAGCCATCCCAAAACTGTCCACATGGCACTTGAGGCAGCTGGCAAAGCATGCCCCCTACTCTCAGCTGCAAGTCATTTGGGCTTTCTGTGGCTTTCCTTTTGCCCTTTAAATATTGGCACTTTAAATATTTAAACACTTGAAACAGCTGCACTGTTGCTTTTGGCATGTATACCTGTTGGAAGATGAACTCTGAACAGCACTGTAGCATGTTGCAAAAACCAGTCTGAAGCATGCAAGGAAGAAAGAGAGTCAGTCACTCAGACAGACAGACAGACAGACAGACCACTTGGTGGGGAGCCTAGGAAAGACACTTTGCAGCTTAAGCCTTGGGGAATTCTGGGGGTACACCTGTGTCCCTAGGGTGCCTTCACTTTTCCAGGTGCCAGTAACCCAGGAGCACACGTGCCCTCCCCAAAATCCTGATATCCTGGTTGCTGTTCTGCTCCTCTTTGTCACAACTGCTCCTAAGTAGGTTGCACTGGACTGTCAACAAATCCGAAGTGATACCATGTTTTCCCTGGCTGGGGCAGATAGGGAGCTGTGTCATGAATTGTCACATGCAAAACTAACTTTATGGGAAGATCTGGGTTTAAGAATTGGCAAGAAAATGTCGATTTTACCTTTAAATCAGTTTGCCTGTCATGGTGATAATTTTCTTGCCCCTTTCTGTTCTGTGTACTACATATAAATTGCCAGACTGCATGGAAATGCATGCAATTGTTAGAAGGCAGGCTTGGTTCTGCTGCTTCTACAGCTTTAAAGCTGCCTTTGTAATTGAAAGTACCGACGGAGGCCAAAAGCTATGTCAGCCTACAATTCCTCTCTCTCTCTCACTCTGTCTTTCTCTCTCTCTCAGTCTTTCTCTCTGTGTGTGTGCATGTGCATGTGCATGCATGTGTCCATGAACTGGATGAACAAGGTCCCAACCAAGAGTGAACTACTGAATGGATGCACCCCATTTTTCCTAGGCTTCGTCTGTCTCTCCTCTGTGCTCATATTACACACCAGGATCAACGCTGATGGAAACCTTCCAGTGGTATAATAACCCATATAGCCATTATGCCATGTAAGCATTCCTCAGTTATCTCAGTGACAGCGGTCTGGGAATGTTCATTTGCAATGCCAAAACTTTGATGAGATGGCTCAAAGTCCTCCTTCTTATTGCTTTATGATTTACTAGAAAGGAGAAAAATTATAGCCATCCAACTACTATTCTGAATGGAGCCATCACTAGTTTATCTGAGAAGCAGTTTACATCTGGCATCTGGATAGAATTCAAATGCCAGAGATCCTATGCCATGGAAGGACAGAACAGATCTTTTTGTGGAGAACGGGGACTGGACAAAAGTGCCCATTTGCCTGGGTATGAACCAAGGTAGTAGTTGCACAGTTTGTAGCAGTGTCAAAGTGTTATTTGGGGGCGCGTGCACACACGCATGCACACAAACACACTTGTATTCTTTGAATTATCCTGTAGGGACCCTGAGTCCACACTTTGCAGGCTTTAACTCCCCCCACCCCGCAAAAAGGCCTCCTCTTCCAAATTTCCCAGTGCAATTCCTTCTACTGGCAATCACAAGAGGAAGGGCTGCTGCATTGGCTCTCCGTCGTGTCACCCACACATGATTATGTGAAGGACTTTGGCAGTGTTGCGCCTCTGGCAAGCCAATATTTAAAATGTCAAGGTCAATGCATTCCAAATATGAGGAAATGTCTGTGTACTGGTCTGATATTCTCTGAACCCTGAATTAGCATCTGAAAGGGTGTGCACTCCTGGCATGGATCACATGGGCCACTTTGGACAACTCTTTGTGCAGCTTCTAGAGTTGCCAAAGATACTTGGAGTTGCAATCCTGTGACTGCCTGAAAGGCTGTCAGAAGAGCTGCCTCAGTAATGAAGCTCAAAAATCGGAAATGATCTCGTTTGCTCTATTAAAAGCGGATGCCGCTTTTTAACACATGTCCTATTTTCACTTGATTTCTGTGAATTCTGCCATATAGATTATCTTTAATAGACTGAATCGATAGGCAATATTTTGTATCATTTATGTGGGAAAATATAGGGGCACTGAAGGATATTTAAAGAGGTAAATATTTATGTAAGATAATCCTCCATAGAGATACCAATATTTGGATATATTGTTAATGTTATTGTCAGTAACCATTCTTAAGTTAATTCTTACTTTTAATGTAATTGGTATTTTCAATTTAATTGCACAGGTTTGGTATTAGGCAGAACAGAAAAGTATGAATTTGAAATGCATCCATCCATCCATCCATCCGCTGTTTCCCCTTCTGGTGTATCCTCCAACTCTGGCAACCCAGCGACTTAATTGTGCCTCCTTTCATGCTTTTGGTGTTTTCAATGAATATCAGGACAACCAAGAGGGAGATGTTTGCTATCACTGATCTCCAGAAGTTTTGTACTTTGGTCCCTTAAGCCTTTCACATGGGCCATGCTGTCTAAGACTAGTGGGAGCCACGGTCAAAACATCTGGAGGGCACCAGGTAATCTCCTCTTGCTCTAAGCACTGCTGCAAAAAGTCAGCTAGGCATTTCATTGTGTGCACTGATTCTGACCTGGATGCTGCCATCAATGGATTTCCAGAGCATGGCTGGTCTGTCTCGTGGGATAAATGATGAAGGCTACAGTTTCAAGGTGCAAACAAAGTGTTGGAGAGATCTAACCAACCACTGCTGTTCTTGGGCCTTTTAGCTTCCGACATCAAGCTGCAGTGGACAGAATGGGCAAATCCAAGAGTTTATTATTGATCTCTCATTGAGAGCGACAGCAGTTGGCTTAGTGGTTTAAACTGCTGTGCTGCTGGGCCGGTTGATCAAAAGGTCGCCAGTTCGAATCTGCACAACGGAGTGAGTTCCCGTTGCTCCATCCCAGCTCCTGCCAACCTTGCAGTTCGAAAGCATGCAAATGCAAGTAGATAAACAGGTACCACTTCGGTGGGCAGGTAACAGCATTCCGTGCACTTCGGTGTTTAGTCATACAGGCCACATGACCCCGGAGACCATCTGCGGACAAACGCTGGCTCCCTCAGCTAGGAAGCGGAGATGAGCACCGCCCCCTAGAGTCAGGCATGACTGGACCTAACGTCAAGGGGAAATCTTTACCTTTATTGAGAGAGAAGTCTCACTTCTTTCATAACAGACATTTGTGAAATAATGTCTTAAGAAAGCTGGATACTGTTGAATAAATGGTTGCAGCAGCCAGATTAATCACTGGGACCAGGAGGTCGAAAAATGTAAAACGAGTTCTGGCCTGCCGGTACTGGCTGTCTGTATGCTTCCAGTCCCAATCCAAGGTACTGATCTTAACCTATAAAGCCCTACATGACTTGGAACTAAGACACCTGTTGGAGTGCCTCTCCCCTTCCCAATCTACCCAGGCATTACACTCAACCTCCAGGGCCTTCCTCCGGGTGCCAGGTGTTAACTGCTTGAGAGGCTCGGAGGGTAGCAACTATGGGGAGGGCCTTTTCCTTGGTGGCTCCCCATCTTTAGATTAGTCTCCCTGCTGTGGCCCACCTGGCACCAAATTGGTCATCTTTTTGGTGCCAGGTTAAGCTTTCCTTGCAGAGATCTTTATAGACTTCCCCAGTCATTCAGGAGGCTGAATTAGCTAGGTGCCTTTCTTTTATTCTTGGCCAGATCTTTTTATTGTTTTTATGCTATTTTAAATTAATTTTAATTCTTGTTAATGTT